CTCACAACACTGATCTCTCAGCATTTCCTTTCAGTAGGCTATATTATACATTTATGTATTTCACGGAAATTGTTCTTAATTCGTTAGTTTTCAATAGCACTGTACTACTTGATGAAGGTAAATACATTGATTTCATTTGATTTCTCTAGAATAAAATGTTTCTACTAATCTTATCCACAATGTGACCGGGCACACAAGCCTGCAGGGGCATGAGCTGATATTGCTACATCCTTCATGGCATTCCACATTTTTTAAATGCTTGAATAAGCACAAATTCCTATCTAAATGGTGAATGCAGTTAGTAAGCTTGTCCATGAGAGCAAAGAGATCATGCATTGAATCACATCAGCATAACATTTCACGTCCCGCTTTTTGTCTTTGTTCACACAGACTCACACACATTTCAAACACACGCTGCCTTTCCATGTCGGTTTTAGAGCGTTGTCAACATTTGTGTTGATACAAAGGCAGTATGAAAGACTGTTATCAGCCCAGTAATAGCCTAATCCTGCTCATTAGAAGCCTTGCTAGTATGAGGTGGTACTATTTCCATCCCCCTCCAGGGTATGCCTAATTTCCTCCATTCCAAAAGGGTTCTTTGGCTGTCCCCATAGGAGAACCCTTTTTGGTTTCAGGTAGAACCCTTTTGGGTTCCATGTAGAACCCTCTGTGGAAAGGGTTCTACCTGGAACCAAAAGGTTTCTACCTGGAACCAAAAAGGCTTCTACCTGGAACCAAAAAGGCTTCTTCAAAGGGTTATCCTATGGGGACAGCAAAATAAAAAAATTGGTTCTACATTTCTATGTTTTCATACCCTTTTTGAATGGGATAATAACATAGCAAAGCCCTACCACGTACACACATGGGTATGACTGTTGGATTAGAGTTATATTAATTTATGGTCAATTAAGACCAAAATACCAACATCTGTTGAATGGTTATATACAGTCAGGTCTATAATTATTGGCAGCCTTGAGTTGAGCAAAAAAGACTGCATCAAATAAATAATACAAATACTGAGCTACGGTGCCTTCAGAAAGTATTCACACCCCTTGACTTTTTCCCCCCAAAAATGTGTTACAGCCTGATTTTAAAATGGATTTATTGTCACTGGCCTACAATACCCCATAATGTCAAAGGGAAATTATGTTTTTAGAAACTTTTGGAAATTAATTTAAAATGAAAAGCTGAAATGTCTTGAGTCAATAAGTATTCAACCCCTTTGTTATGGTATGCCTAAATAAGTTCAGGAGTAAAAATGTCACATAATAAGGTGCATGGACTGTGTGTAATAATAGTGTTTAACATGATTTTTTAATAACTACCTCATCTCTGTACCACACACATACAGTGGGGGAAAAAAGTATTTAGTCAGCCACCAATTGTGCAAGTTCTCCCACTTAAAATATGAGAGAGGCCTGTAATTTTCATCATAGGTACACGTCAACTATGACAGACAAAATGAGGGGAAAAAATCCAGAAAATCACATTGTAGGATTTTTTATGAATTTATTTGCAAATTATGGTGGAAAATAAGTATTTGGTCAATAACAAAAGTTTCTCAATACTTTGTTATATACCCTTTGTTGGCAATGACACAGGTCAAACGTTTTCTGTAAGTCTTCACAAGGTTTTCACACACTGTTGCTGGTATCTTGGCCCATTCCTCCATGCAGATCTCCTCTAAAGTGATGTTTTGGGGCTGTCGCTGGGCAACACGGACTTTCAACTCCCTCCGAAGATTTTCTATGGGGTTGAGATCTGGAGACTGGCTAGGCCACTCCAGGACCTTGAAATGCTTCTTACGAAGCCACTCCTTCGTTGCCCGGGCGGTGTGTTTGGGATCATTGTCATGCTGAAAGACCCATCGACATTTCATCTTCAATGCCCTTGCTGATGGAAGGAGGTTTTCACTCAAAATCTCATGATACATGGCCCCATTCATTCTTTACTTTACACGGATCAGTCGTCCTGGTCCCTTTGCAGAAAAACAGCCCCAAAGCATGATGTTTCCATCCCCATGCTTCACAGTAGGTATGGTGTTCTTTGGATGCAACTCAGCATTCTTTGTCCTCCAAACACGACGAGTTGAGTTTTTACCAAAAAGTTCTATTTTGGTTTCATCTGACCATATGACATTCTCCCAATCCTCTTCTGGATCATCCAAATGCACTCTAGCAAACTTCAGACGGGCCTGGACATGTACTGGCTTAAGCAGGGGGACACGTCTTTCACTGCAGGATTTGAGTCCCTGGCGGCGTAGTGTGTTACTGATGGTAGGCTTTGTTACTTTGGTCCCAGCTCTCTGCAGGTCATTCACTAGGTCCCCCCGTGTGGTTCTGGGATTTTTGCTCACCGTTCTTGTGATCATTTTGACCCCACGGGGTGAGATCTTGCGTGGAGCCCCAGATCGAGGGAGATTATCAGTGGTCTTGTATGTCTTCCATTTCCTAATAATTGCTCCCACAGTTGATTTCTTCAAACCAAGCTGCTTACCTATTGCAGATTCAGTCTTCCCAGCCTGGTGCAGGTCTACAATTATGTTTCTGGTGTCCTTTGACAGCTCTTTGGTCTTGGCCATAGTGGAGTTTGGAGTGTAACTGTTTGAGGTTGTGGACAGGTGTCTTTTATACTGATAACAAGTTCAAACAGGTGCCATTAATACAGGTAATGAGTGGAGGACAGAGGAACCTCTTAAAGAAGAAGTTACAGATCTGTGAGAGCCAGAAATCTTGCTTGTTTGTAGGTGACCAAATACTTATTTTCCACCATAATTTGCAAATTAATTAATTAAAAATCCTACAATGTGATTTTCTGGATTTTTTTATTTTCAATTTGTCTGTCATAGTTGATGTGTACCTATGATGAAAATTACAGGCCTCTCTCATCTTTTTAAGTGGGAGAACTTGCACAATTGGTGGCTGACTAAATACTTTTTTCCCCCCACTGTAAAGTACAATTATCTGTAAGGTCCCTCACTCGAGCAGTGAATTTCAAACACAGATTCAACCACAAAGACCAGGGAGGTTTTCCAATGCCTCGCAAAGAAGGGCATCTATTGGTAGATGGGTAAAAAGAAAGAGACATTGAATATCCCTTTGAGCATGGTGAAGTTATTCATTACACTTTGGATGGTGTATCAATGCACCCAGTCACTACAAAGATACAGACGTGCTTCCTAACTCAGTTGCCGGAGAGGAAGAAAACCACTCAGGTATTTCACCATGAGGCCAATGGTGACTTTAAAACAGTTACAGAGTTTAATGGTGATAGGAGAAAACTGAGGATAGATCAACAACATTGTAGTTACTCCACAATGATCACCTAATTGACAGAGTGAAAAGAAGGAAGCCTGTACAGAATAACAACATGCATCCTGTTTGCAACAAGGCACTAAAATAATACTGCAAAAAATGTGGCAAATCAATTAACTTTTTGTTCTGAATACAAAGTGTTATGTTTGGGGCAAATCCAATACAACACATTACTGAGTACCACTCTCCATATTTTCCCGCATAGTGGTGGCTGGGAGGACTTGGGAGTTTTTCAGGATAAAAAATAAATGGAATGGAGCTAAGCACAGGCAAAATCCGAGAGGAAAATCTGGTTCAGTCTGCTTTCCACCAGACACTGGTTTTCAGCAGGACAATTGTCTAAAACATAAGACCAAATCTACATTAGAGTTGCTTACCAAGAAGACAGTGGTCTAGTTACAGTTTTGACTTAAATCTGCTTGGAAATCTATGGCAAGACTTGAAAATGGTTGTCTAGCAATGATCAACAACCAATTTGACAGAGCTTGAAGAATTTTGAAAATAATAATGGGCAAATATTGTACAATCCAGGTGTGCAAAGCTCCTAGAGACTTACCCAGAAAGACTCACAGCTGTAATCGCTGCCAAAGGGGATTCTAACATGTATTGACTCAGGTGTGTAAATACTTATGTAAATGAGATATTTCTGTATTTTATTTTCAATAAATGTCCAAAGATTTCTAAGAACATGTTTTCACTTTGTCATTATGGGGTATTGTGTGTAGATGGGTGGACCGTCATTTGTTTTGTTTATCCATTTTGAATTCAGGCTGTAACACAACAAAATGTGGAATACGTTGAGGGGTATGAATACTTTCTGAAGGCACTGTATGCAAAACAAAATAGGGAAATTATATTATTTTATACTAATACAATTGCTCAGAGAAATAGATTTTGTTGAACAAGTAATAAAAACAAATCTAAAAAAGATAGGGGTCAAAATTATTGGTACTCCTGTTTTAATTCTCTAGGCACCCTCCCCTTGCAAGGATAACTACACAGCCTTTTTCTAAAATGTTTTATGAGATTGGAGAACACGTTGGAAAGCTTCCTAGACCATTCCTCCATAGAGAATCTTTCCAGATCCTTGATATCCTTCGTCTGCTCATATGGACTCCCCTCTTCAATTCAAACCACAGGTTTTCAATGGGGTTTAAGTCCGGAGACTGAGATGGCCATTGCAGAATGTTGATTTTGTGGCCAATTAACTTTTTTGTTGTTGCATGCAATATAGCTCAATATTTGTATCCTTCAAGTGAAGTGTGAGTGGAGCGATATTGAGTGAGAAAAGGTATGACCTCATTGCCATACTGTCTCAGCCCTAGACACAGAGTGTTGGGCAGCGGGCGGATTTGAGTGAAACTAGGTTTCTTGTTTCTTGTTTAACCCAGAGCATAAATTAATGACATGTTCTAACACAGCTTCCTGTTTTACAAATTCTTTCAAAAATATGAGTCAATGTAACTTCACTTCTCTTAACACAACCCTGCCAAACCCCCTTACATGCCAAGGACAGTTGTCGGTTGGCACTCACTCACCATTCATTCTCTCCTTGTGAATCATCTATCTTTTTCTCATTGTTTAGATAATCCACGTTTGACTGCTCATAAAATAGAAAACGCTATAAATAATTTCGAAATGTTTAATTAAGGGTGATTAACATCAAACCGTTGCGGTGGTTGATTTTCAAACCGTTGTGGTGGTTGATTTTCGGAGGATGGTTTTCTGTGGTTTCAGGGAAGGGTTAGGATGAGGCACACAAGGCGAGTTTGTAGGAGGGAAACTATGGCTGACACTGAGGCTGCCATTTTCCAACAGGAGCTTGGGTGGTGGTGAGGAGGAGGAACACTGATGGACAGGGCTCATTTCATCAGTCAATTCTGGCTGGAAGTGCATATCTGTGTTGTCGACGTCATATTGCAGGTCACAGTCAGGGCAGTACCCGTGATACTGGACCTTTTCACTGAATCGGACCCGCTCTCTGGTGGCCTGGGGGCATTTGCTCTTTTCATGCCGTAGCAAAGGCATGGGCGTAAATCCTTTCTCTGGAACACTATTTGAGATGGAGTACAATAAGTCTCTGTTCGGCTTCCCTGTGAAAACTTCATTGCGCATAAGAGTCCCGTTAGCCTTGGCTAGTAGGTTCCCTGATGGTGGATTCTTGTTGTTCTCCTCCGCTTTGATAGGTGTCAGCCTGGGAGGTGGCAGAGGAGGGTGGGGCTTCTTCAGCACGGTCAGGACAGCAGGGCTGACAGACTGGGGCCTAAAGATAGCGTCGTCAGGGTAGATCTTGATCTTGTCAATGCTGGAGGCTGTGGTGGTGGTGGTGATGCTGCTACAACTGCTGTTCAGGGTGTCTGTCTTGGAACTGTCCGTCATCTCCTCCTCCAGCTGTAGGTCACACGTGAGGGAGTCGATCTCATGCACAACCTGCACCAGTAGAAAGGAAAAAGAGCTATCATGGACAGTTCTTATGTTTAGTTTGAATAGACATCAAAGTAACAAGACTATTAGAGCAGAAAATACAGCAGCAGCCAAAATGTTACCGTATGAAGCACTTGTTGATGTGCAACCTGGCTATTAAAATAATGCATTATTATAATCACTTTGTTGACATTTGGTAATCTCAAGCCAGATTCACTTGCAACACAACAATATTATCTGATTCATTACAGGTTGTGTTGGATGAGTTGATCATCCGCTAAATGTATTTGTAAGGTAAGGGGAAACTACCCACACAACCCACCAAACTGTATTCAGACTCAGAATCAAAAGCGGGACCCTCTGGCTATGAATCAGCAACACTAACTTGTTTAGATAAGAATTCATTCTCTGTGTATGCACTTACACGTAGTGGACATATTGAAATAGTTGAAAGCACATACTCTGCCCCCCATACATTCCATGGTTGAGGTAATAAGAATATACCTAGTCAGTGAAAATTGCAAAGACATCCCATCATAGTGAATGACTACATCTGTCATTCCCCCTTAGGTATCTTTACTAATTTTGACTAGAAATAAACCCTTATTACTGATATGCATGCATCAAAAGACACAATGTTCAAAACTATTAGGGATAGTCTGAAAGGACTTTGTAATCTATAACTGGCACAATACCTATTAAGACCTATGGGGGTAATATTAATATCATTAAAATATTTTACTACTCAAATTACAGTGGTAGCCAATACTTTGCCAAACCATGTCTGTGAACAGTATCCATATAGTACACCCTTTTTAAAAGTCATTACATTTGGAAGTAATTAAAGCTATTGAAGTAATATTGAAGTAATATCAGCATATCCAAATGTCATGGAATATTAAACTGAGGCTGGGCGAAAAGCTCATGTAGAGTGAAATCTCCAAGCACAGTCATACATGGATAATTTAGTGGGCCACAAAAGAGAGTCACAGTTTCCAGTGCCACATGCTGTGGGGCATGTTGATTCTCTCTCTGTGCCAAGCATCTGGGTTCAGCTCCCCTTAAACGTAGGCTTGAATCCAGAAAGTATAGTGTGTGAGTTGAAGTAGATAACTGCATCTGAATGGGATTTATGGAAATATTGGCTTTGATATTGACAACCCTCTAGGTTGGTTGTTTTAGCAGTGTTGCTAGACTAACAGATTGTGTATGCTTCCCTGAATAGAACACACTGATCCTGCTAGTATTTAATTCAAATACTTGTTGAAAAGGTTGAAAGAGGACCATTATTTCAAGGAAACATGTGCCGTGTATCCATTTAATTCATAATGTAAGAAAAACCTTGTAGGTCTTATCCAAGTGACAACCTGTAAAATAGGGGCGAGTATTTCAGCCCCAACAGGCTGGACAGCTCTATTCTTACAAAAGCATATACAGTGAGGGAAAAAAGTATTTGATCCCCTGCTGATTTTATACGTTTGCCCACTGACAAACACATGATCAGTCTATTATTTTAATGGTAGGTTTATTTGAACAGTGAGAGACAGAATAGCAACAAAAAAATCCAGAAAAACGCATGTCAAAAATGTTATAAATTGATTTGCATTTTAATGAGGGAAATAAGTATTTGACCCCTCTGCAAAACATGATTTAGTACTTGGTGGCAAAATCCTTGTTGGCAATCACAGAGATCAGACGTTTCTTGTCGTTGGCCACCAGGTTTGCACACATCTCAGGAGGGATTTTGTCTCACTCCTCTTTGCAGATCTTCTCCAAGTCATTAAGGTTTCGAGCCTGACGTTTGGCAACTCAAACCTTCAGCTCCCTCCACAGATTTTCTATGGGATTAAGGTCTGGAGACTGGCTAGGCCACTCCAGGACCTTAATGTGCTTCTTCTTGAGCCACTCCATTGTTGCCTTGGCCGTGTGTTTTGGGTCATTGTCATGCTGGAATACCCATCCACGACCCATGTTCAATGCCCTGGTTGAGGGAAGGAGGTTCTCACCCAAGATTTGACGGTACATGGCCCCGTCCATCGTCCCTTTGATGCGGTGAAGTTGTCCTGTCCCCTTAGCAGAAAAACACCCCCAAAGCATAATGTTTCCACCTCCATGTTTGACGGTGGGGATGGTGTTCTTGGGGTCATAGGCAGCATTCCTCCTGCTCCAAACATGGCGAGTTGAGTTGATGCCAAAGAGCTCGATTTTGGTCTCATCTGACCACAACACTTTCACCCAGTTCTCCTCTGAATCATTCAGATGTTCATTGGCAAACTTCAGACGGGCCTGTATATGTGCTTTCTTGAGCAGGGGGACCTTGCGGGCACTGCATGATTTCAGTCCTTCACGGCGTAGTGTGTTACCAATTGTTTTCTTGGTGACTATGGTCCCAGCTGCCTTGAGATCATTGACAAGATCCTCCCGTGCAGTTCTGGGCTGATTCCTCACCGTTCTCATGATCATTGCAACTCCACAAGGTGAGAACTTGCATGGAGCCCCAGGCCGAGGGAGATTGACAGTTCTTTGTGTTTCTTCCATTTGCGAATAATCGCACCAACTGTTGTCACCTTCTCACCAAGCTGCTTGGCGATGGTCTTGTAGCCCATTCCAGCCTTGTGTAGGTCTACAATATTGTCCCTGACATCCTTGGAGAGCTCTTTGGTCTTGGCCATGGTGGAGAGTTTGGAATCTGATTGATTGATTGCTTCTGTGGACAGGTGTCTTTTATACAGGTAACACGCTGAGATTAGGAGCACTGCCTTTAAGAGTGTGCTCATAATCTCAGTTTGTTACCTGTATAAAAGACACCTGGGAGCCAGAAATCTTTCTGATTGAGAGGGGGTCAAATACTTATTTCCCTCATTAAAATGCAAATCAATTTATAACATTTTTGACATGCGTTTTTCTGGATTTTTTTGTTGTTATTCTGTCTCTCACTGTTCAAATAAACCTACCATTAAAATTATAGACTGATCATTTCTTTGTCAGTGGGCAAACGTACAAAATCAGCAGGGGATCAAATACTTTTTTCCCTCACTGTAGGTTGGCTACATCCACATGTCAGAGCAGGTTAGATTGCGGGTTATGGAAGATGGTTACCAACAAGGATTATTATCATCAATGTGTGAAAACAAAAGAAAACAAATAAAGCATGAGATGAATGAATAAATGCAGTAAAATTGCAATTGTTATTCAGCTTAAATAACTTGGACCCAATGACAGCACTGACAAAGTCCTGATATTGTAACAAGGTGCCTAGAGAGAGCTGCTGTATAATTTGACAGGAGACAATTCTCATGGAAACAGTAGGCTTAGGCTAGACTGTATTAAGATGATGAAATGAAATGCAAAACCATTCCGGTGAACTACAAGATTAACAATTAATCATGATTAATTTGTGCGCTTAAATCAAAGCCTGCGGACCAAGACGCAGCTGCGATGTCATCCTCCGCACAGCCAACCTGTCCTAAATAAATGTCATGTTCACTGATAAGATATATGGTCACATATGATAGGCCAATGCAGTATGTGGGTAGGCCCTGGACTTAATTCTTTAAGCCTTCAGATGTTTATTATAGAACAAGCTTGTTTTGTTCCCCATCAATAGAAAAGCAATAGCCTAACCATACCAGCATGAAATCAAAAACAATGTATGTTCATCTCAAACAGCCTAAAAGCCACATAAGCCAGACATAAGGAAACCTATTCCACTAACCTCTTTGAGTTCCTTGGCCACATCCCTCAAGTCTCCCAGGATGGTCTCCAAATCCTTCACGATTGTCTTGATCTGCTTTTTTACTTTCACTTTGGAGACTACTCCTTCAGCAGATTCTGCATTTGATGTCCCTGACATTCTTCGTTGGCACAATGTATTTTAAGGATCACTAGTAAATCCTTTCGGTGAAGCAATACCATTTTGTCGATGCATTTTAGTGTTCCGTTTTCTTCACATTCCTATAGGCTACATCACCCAATAATGTAGTGAAGCGCAATGACAGCGTCCCGGCGAGTACGCCTGCGCAATAGAGCATAGCAAAAATAATATTATCTTAAAAAATATATACAAAATAATGTTGCTGAAGAGGTGTTTCTCGACAGTTTGCTCATGATCATTCCGCTGTTACCTTTCACATTTTTCTAAAAAACCAAATGCTGATAATCACATTTCCTTGTGGCAAGCAATGCAAATTCACAATTTTGAAGATGCCTAGTCAGATATTCGGTCCAGCATGATAACATAATGATAAGGAACAAGGTAGATAGGATAGAACACAGCAATCCAATCCATGCCCAATATTCTAATCATAACGGTCCATAGGCTGCGCCAGGCATCCCCGTTGATCAGATTCTCTCTCAAAAATATATTTATATTCTATACGACGACAGTCCGATATAGTATAGGCTATATTCATAAACTGCAGTTACATTACTGAATAAATTACAAGTGAAAATCATTCCATCTTCACATTGCATCTTCATCGAAGCCTCCATGGTGTCTGATAGCCGACGTCGGGGGAGAGAACGGTCTCTGCACGGAAGGGTCTTTGCACCGCTGCCCTTTAGAGCTGTCATAGCATGACACGCGCACACGCCGCAGAAGCAGATCACCTGGGGCCTCATTTATAAACCATGCGTATGTACAAAATATACCCCAAAAATGTGAGTGCGCCAGTTTTCATGCAAAAGTTGGCATTTATAAAAAATGTACTTGACATGAGTATGTGTTCAGATCCCCGCAAACTTTAGACCATGAATACACACATCTGCTAGTGGTTAAAATAGCGTATTGTATTGCAAGCTGGCAGGTAAGTATTTTGTGCAAATGGGGGATATGATGAAAAGCTTATTCATAAAAAAAACTGGAAAAAAATATGAACAAGAATGCAGCCATTTGCCATTAGGGAGTGAACGCTATTTAGTATAATAACGGTTACATGCAATGGCGACCCGTTATTCAGGGCAGGTGGTACAGAGCAAAAACTAAATACCATATAAGGTTATATATATATATATATACAGCTGCGGAAAAAATTAAGAGACCACTGCAAAATTATCAGTTTCTCTGGTTTTACTATTTATAGGTGTGTGTTTGGGTAAAAATAACATTTTTGTTTTATTCTATAAACTACTGACAACAGTACTCCCAAATTCCAAATAAAAATATTCTCATTTAGAGCATTTATTTGCAGAAAATGACAACTGGTCAAAATAACAAAAAAGATGCAGTGTTGTTAGACCTCGAATAATGCAAAGAAAATAAGTTCATGTTCATTTTTAAACAACACAATAGTAATGGTTTAACTTAGGAAGAGTTCAGAAATCAATATTTGGTGGAATAACCCTGATTTTCAATCACAGCTTTCATGCCTCTTGGCATGCTCTCCACCAGTCTTTCACATTGATGTTGGGTGACTTTATGCCACTCCTGGCGCAAAAGTTCAAGCAGCTCGGCTTTGTTTGATGGCTTGTGACCATCCATCTTCCTCTTGATCACATTCCAGAAGTTTTCAATGGGGTTCAGGTCTGGAGATTGGGCTGGCCATGACAGGGTATTGATCTGGTGGTCCTCCATCCACACCTTGATTGACCTGGCTGTGTGGCATGACGCATTGTCCTGCTGGAAAAACCAATCCTCAGAGTTGGGGAACAGTGTCAGAGCAAAAGGAAGCAAGTTTTCTTCCAGGACAACCTTGTACGTGGCTTGATTCATGCGGTCTTCACAAAGACCAATCTGCCTGATTCCAGCCTTGCTGAAGCACCCCCAGATCATCACCGATCCTCCACCAAATTTCACAGTGGGTGCGAGACACTGTGGCTTGTAGGCCTCTCCAGGTCTCCGTCTAACCATTAGACGACCAGGTGTTGGGCAAAGCTGAAAATTGGACTCATCAGAGAAGATTACCTTACGCCAGTCCTCTACGGTCCAATCCTTATGGTTTTTGCAAACCTCAGCCTGGCTCTTCTTTGCTTCTCTTTGATGAAGGGCTTTTTTCTAGCTTTGCACTACTTCAGCCCTGCCCCTAGGATACTTTTTCGAACCACCCTCGCCGTGCACTTCACCCCAGCTGCCGTTTGCCATTCTTTTTGTAGGTCACTTGATGTCATCCTACGGTTGTTGAGTGACATTTGAATGAGTTGGTGGTCATCCCGGTCAGTAGAGAGTCGTTTTTGCCCTCTGCCGGTCTGTAGCTTTGTTGTCCCCAGTGTCTGCTGCTTGACCTTGTTCTTATGAACCGCCGTCTTTGAAATGTTAAGGATGGAAGCAACCTGACGCTCACTGTATCCCTCTGCCAGTAAAGCCAGAATTGAACCCTTATTTTCCTCACTCAAAACGTTCCTTTTCAACTCTGTTGGCATGGTCAATAGTTATTTTTTAAATTAATATTACTGTTGAGGTACTATTAGCACTGTTTTTGCCATCCAGCTGGTCCTATTGCAAGAGGATAGTGATGACCACAGCAGTTGTTTTTATATTTTTCCCCGTTAAATAAGATTTGGTTCAGGTGACACCTATTCAGTACCTAATTCAGTAGAATGAGGTGTGCCTGTGTTGGAACTCAACAGACACTGGAATGGAATGGCTGTCACACATGTAGAGATGCTGATTTAAGAAAAATGTGCAGTGGTCTCTTAATTTTTTCCACAGCTGTATATATACAGTACAAGTCAAAAGTTTGGACACACCTACTTATTCAAGGGTTTTTCTTTATTTTGACTATTTTCTACATTGTAGAAAAATAGTGAAGACATCAAAACTATGAAATAACACATATGGAATCATGTAGTAACCAAGAAAGTGTTAAACAAATCTAAATATGTGTTATATTTTAGATTCTTCAAAGTAGCCACCCTTGGCCTTGATGACAGCTTTGCACACTCTTGGCATTCTCTCAACCAGCTTGCTCAGTTTGGCCGGGCGGCCAGCTCTAGGAAGAGTCTTGGTGGTTCCAAAATTCTTCCATTTAAGAATGATGGAGGCCACTATGTTCTTGGGAACCTTCAATGCTGCAGACATTTTTTGGTACCCTTCCCCAGATCTGTGCCTCGACACAATCCTGTCTCTGAGCTCTACGGACAATTCCTTCGACCTCATGGCTTGGTTTTTGCTCTATCATGCACTGTCAACTGTGGGACCTTATATAGACAGGTGTGTGCTTTTCCAAATCATGTCCAATCAATTGAATTAACTACAGGTGGACTCCAAGGAAGTTGTAGAAACATCTCAAGGATGATCAATGGAAACAGGATGCACCCGAGCTCAATTTCGAATCTCATAGCAAAGGGTCTGAATACTTCTGTAAATAAGGTATTTCTGTTTTTTATTTTTAATACATTTGCAAAAATTTCTTACAACCTGTTTTCGCTTTGTCATTATGGGGTATTGTGTGTAGATTGATTAGGAAAAAAAGTAATTTAACCAATTTTAGAATAAGACTGTAACGTAACAAAATGTGGAAAAGTCAAGGAGTCTGAATACTTTCCGAATGCACTGTATATTTTTTGGGATGCCTGTTTTGCATGTTATTTTGGCATTAATACGTGTCACATATCAGTTTGCAAACAATGTACTTAAAAAACATATATATATATATATTAGTTAGTAAAGCCGCTTACAAACGTTGTCTATTTTTCGCTTTCTTGAGTAAGGCAGCTCCAAAATGCAGGTGTTTTAGCCTAGCTCAGTGCTTTCTGTGGTGGTGGTGGTGGGGCAGCCAGCGGAAAATACGGAGCGTAGGGGTTGGTAATGTTCTCTAGTTGCGCTGTGATTGTCTCAGTGTTCTGTCACTCATGGGGACACTACATCACCGCCAAATCTAAAGGCAGAGCTCGAAAATTCAAGCCCCTTGGGTGCTGCCATAGAGTTACGTTAGACATGCCCATCCAAGAAGGCTCAAGGTCATTGGCCACAGGTAAAATGACATCAAAGCACGTTATATCTACAGCAGCTTTGATTGGACTGATCATGTCAACATCATACTTTCAAAATCTTAGCTAGCAAGCTAGCAATCATCATCATGAATCAAGTCGACAATCTACTGACAAATCTTTTTTAATCCTTGTCATATGAAGAGAAATAATGAAGAGAAATTATAGATAAAACGTATCGGTGCTCATCGGCCATTGGAAATAAACATTACACAACAAGTTGGAAATCACAAATTCAACAATGAGTGGTTTGGAAGGAATCAGTGGCTAACTGCAAGCATTGCAAAGCAATCACTAGCCTGCTATTCAACGGAGTGGGTGTGTGGTCACAAGTCTGGGTTTAAGTGTCTCTTTTCCAAGCTTAAAAAGGTAAACATTCAACATTGGCCATGGTGTCACTCCAGCATGTCTTCTGCCGCACTCAAATCAACTGGAAATTCAGAATGGGGAAATCTGATTTCAGTGAGTTCAAGACAATTGGGAACTTGGAAAAAAACGAGCTCAGACTGGGAAAATACGTTTTGAACTGTAAACCAACTCAGAATTGCCAGTCGGAAACTCAAGTCTCTTTCTAGAGCTCCGACCTGAAGATCACTGACGTCATCATGATTCGACCTCGTTTTTTTCCGAGTTCCCAGTTGTCTTGAAATCACCATAAATCCATGACAAAGTTTGATGACAAAATTTGCCCACGAAGGACCGGCGCGCCACCTTCCTGTTCAAGTGAGCACAGCACAACAAGGTGAGTCCAAAAATGTATTGTATGCTGCTGCATAAATGATGTAATATCCCAGGGAGATATGTATACTCTAGCTAAGAAAGTCATTCTAAGTGTATGTTGTGTAGTAAGCTGTTAGTAGCCCATTTGCCTCACCCTAATCATTTGGTCCCGTTTGCCCTCCTAATTTCGCCTACTGTTCTGACTTG